GGAGAGAGCATCCTCAAATCTGGGAAACTCCCTAAGGCATTTCTTTGCCTTTGACTCCAGACTGCTGGAAGTAAGAGCCAGCCTGAGCACCCTCTGCTTATCTGGTCCCCCTGGCTATCAGGGCATTGTTCAGTGCTAAACTTTCCAAGTCTCTCTGACATAAAACATAGTAAACGTTTACGGCACTGCCATCAGCTTTGCTAGTCCTCACTATTCAGATCATATTTGCTTAATGGCATGTAAATTAATTTCTGGAAGCTGACATTCACTGCAAGATTAATTAGTGGCTCTAACATGGGGCTGATGCATGAAATTTAAAATGCAGAGCATCTTTTGGGGGAAAAAAGAAAAGGAGGGAAATTCCTGTGCTCTTGGAAATCTTCACCTTTAGGATGCTATGACTGAGGTAATGAATGAGCTGAATTACAGAAGAAAAATAAATTCAATTCCAGCTATTTAAAGGCTCAGCAATTTCTTCCAGGCGAAAAACAAGCAGCTATTGTGTGCCTATGCTGGGAGGGCTGGGGGGAGGCACCGTTTCCCACAGCCAAATTAGGAATGGGAAAACCAGAACAAAACCCACAAGCCTCAGAAGCCCGAGTAGGGAACACAAGCCATTTTCTGTTCAACATGATTTGTGCTGTCATTAGGTGGGTTTAATGGGGCTTTATTCTTATTCTGGGAGGAAAGCCTGGCTTTGCTTGAACTAACAGTAATAATGACTGTTCAGACCTGGGAAACATGAGGGAGCCAGCTGAAACCACATTTCCTATGTCACTCAGGAGTTTGCTGGGAACAGTGGGTCTCCTCCTCCCTGCCATCCATCGCTGGCAGTGGAGGTTGGCTACCTTTTGCTAGAGCCTGGTAAAAACTTGGTAGTGCCCTGTTTGGTGCATGGGATGTGTGTGTGGTCCATGTAATTCATCTCACTGTCAAGGAAGAGCCACTGCCAGCCATGCTGGGACCAGACCTGAATCCTGCACACTGCTGCCCTGCAGCTGCCTGGGGCAGAAGACAAGGCCGGTGTCACAGCTGCAGGAAAGGCTTTTCTCATCAGAGATGTCTTGAACCCCTTCCTAGCCCTCCTCCCGAGCTACTGTGACCCTTTGCAAGAACAGCTCAGCAACACAGTTGTGGGTTCTTGAAGTCCAGTATTTGGGCACCTTGTTTCAGGTTGTGTAAAAGTGAAAGGTAGAAGAGACCCCCTGAAAGGAAATCTTAGGAGTTGAAACCCATGAGCTGAGTCTGAACGGTCCCCACGAGGCACACGTGAAGCCCGGCTCTTGATTAAGGGAGCGGAACATCTCCCTTATGAGGAAAGGCTGAGGGAGCTGGGTCTCTTCAGCTTGGAGAAAAGGAGACTGAGGGGTGACCTCATCAATGTTTACAAATATGTAAGGGGTGAGTGTCAGGAAGATGGAGTTAAGCTTTTCTCAGTGATGACCAGTGATAGGACAAGGGGTAATGGGTGCAAATTGGAGCATAGGAGGTTCAAGTTGAATATCCAAAAATTTTTTTTTACTGTGAGAGTGACAGAGCACTGGAACAGGCTGCCCAGGGAGGTTGTGGAGTCTCCTTCACTGGAGACATTCAAAACCTACCTGGATGTGTTCCTGTGTGATGTACTCTAGGTGAGCCTGCTCTGGCAGGGGGGTTGGACTAGATGATCTTTCGAGGTCCCTTCCAACCCCTAGGATTCTATGATTCTCTTTCAGCTCTGCTGGCTTCCCTCAGCAGGCACTAACAGCAGTTCCTGTACTTTCACACAACCATACGGGCTAGAAGCTGCACAGCAGGAAGTCAGCAAGCACAGCAGGCCTTCTGCTTCGAGGACTGCAGGACTGATACCATTTCTCAAAAGAGTACGAGAACCACTGGCGACCCAACTTCCACCTGTGGAAGGAGCAATGTTACCTTAGATGTGCTCATCCTGGGCTGCTGCTTGGAGATGGACAGGGGTGGACAGCTGATCTTGTGTGAATAACATCCCTGAGACCTGAAGATACACATAGCATTCCAAAAGGAAGCTAAAGCTGTGCCACTGCTGGAATTTCACATTTCTCTATGGCTAGATCCTGGTTTAGTTTGAGATATGGTAATGTTGGTGGACCAGATCATGTGAGAAATAGAGATTCCTCCTCTAGAGCAGGAGGAATCAGAGTTACTGCTGAGGTTTTTAATCCAGTCGATTGGTAGAATATGGCACATAGTTTCTGCAACATCCTAAGCATATCTGAAGTGGTTGGTACAATAGCTGTAGATGGCACACCAAATCTGAAAACATTTTTTTATTTAGTGTATTAAAAACTAGTGGCTCTTAATGATAACTCAGACAAACCGAACTGCAGCTCCTGGTGCCCATGTATGAATACAGCCTACAGCTTACCTATAGGAAACGCTTGGATAGTTTTACTGGCCTTTGAAAGCAGCTTTCAAACCAAAGTTCAGCTGGGGTGGTACTGACAAAACCCCACCTGGAGTACTGTGTCCAGTTCTGAGGACCTCAACACAAGAAAGACATGGAGCTGTTGGAGGAAGTCCAGAGGAGGGCCACAAAGATGATCAGAGGGCTGGAGCACCTCTATGAAGACAGGCTGAGAGAGTTGGGGCTGTTCAGCCTGGAAAAGAGAAGGCTCCAGGAAGACCTCATAGTGGCCTTCCAGTGCCTGAAGGGGCTAAAGGAAAGCTGGGGTGGGGCTTTTTACAAAGGCTTGTAGCAATAGGACAAGGGGTAATGGCTTTAAGCTGGAAGAGGGTAGATTTAGGTTAGACATTTGTAAGAAATTCTTCACTAATAGGGTGATGAGACACTGGAACAGTTTGCCCAGGAAAGCTGTGGATGCCTCTCATCCCTCTAAGTGTTCCAAGGCCAGGCTGGATGGAGCTTTGAGCAAGCTGGTCTAGTGGGTGGTGTCTCTGTCCATGCAGAGGGGCTGGAAGTAGATAATCTTTAAGGTCCCAAACTGTTCTATGATTCACCACCTTTACTGTCCCTTCCAAACCAAACCACTGTGTGATTCTTTGCAAACCAGCTGTAGGTACCAAGGGAATAAGACACACAGATCCAACTGTCATTTTTTATAAAAGTATTTTTAATAAACGGATGGATTTAAGTTTCAGATGCTAGACAACTTGTTGCCATGTACAGGTAACAAAAGTCAAAATTCTTTGAATTTTATACAAATACTATGTAGTACAGTAAACTTGAATACAAGTTTACAAAAATGCAACAGTGAAGATTCAGCTTGTAACCAACTTCCAACAGTGAAAATTACCATGTATCAATAGTGATCAGAATTGCATTGCAAATTTTAGAAGTAATGCAACTATGTCTTTACCAAGCCACTCAGAAGTTAATGGTGCACACTGACAGTACATTGGATTTTTTTGGCTTGCTGAACAGAAAATGGCATTTAAATAAAATTACTTTTGAGTTAAAGAATATAGTATGTATAAAAACTACTGACTTACAGAAAATGAAACAAGAATGAAAAAGTAAACAGAGCAGAACCCTGAAGTAGTGATAATTTTCTACCCGTTTTGATGGAAAAGTCTCCACAGGTGTCCAGCTTTCTCACAGCATTTTGGAGTGTTCCTGTCCTAGCACAGTGTGGTCATTAGTAGACTAAAGTAATCCCTGCTTGGCAGTAATGCTGGTGAAAGGTAACTTGCTCTATTGCTAACTAATCAGAGTAACCACTGGCAGGGTGACTTCTCAGAGGCATCAAGTGGAGGTTGAGTTGACAGCAGACAACTGAAGTTAAAGTACCACCTGCTGTGATACAATACCCTACAGCATTCAGGGTTCAGACGTCAGTTTCCTCACAGGACTTACAAATGGATGGTTTTCAAACAAACAAAAAAACCCAAAACAAAACAAAAAAGGAGCATAAGACAGTATTTCCACCTGTACAGCTACCAATAAAATTAACGTTTTTGTTACAAACTTTCCAGTCTGCTTTATAAAAAATAGTCTTAGTTTTACTTCTAAATAAAAACTGTGCTGTGACCTGTCACGTTCTTGCATTGTACATGCTGTAGTTGTGAGTGTTAATGAAGGTGTACAGATTTGTGACCTAGCGCTCTGGATATATCAGAAGCCTAAAAAGCTGATTTTGGTACATAAAAGTTAGGTAGCAATGAAAATTCATTCTATTTATTTTTCCTAAAACCTAGGAAAAGCTACAGTACATTGCTAGATCAGTGGCCTCAACCCTGAGCTGAAATAAAGGACCTGCCTTGGCCACAAGACTTAAAGTCACATTACTACCACAGCTGCACAGCAGGGACAAAATAACCTGTCTGTGGCCTGTTGTCTTAGCTGTAAGTAGTGCAAGATCCAGTTCTGTAATGCTTGAGAGTTGACTGGAGACCACCATATTCATTTTCACTACAGGAAAAAAAGAAAGGAGAACTCAAGTGAAAAAGCACTCAACAGGGAGAGTCACTATGTCCAGCTTCTGGAGACCAGAGAACATACTTAGTGGTAGATTGGTCTGTCAAGCATTTCACACTTGGTAGAAGAGATTATTAAAACACATACCAAACTAAAGTTAAAGAGATTTCTACTATTATCCCACACATTCCAGAAAGAGTCTCACTTGATTTTCTCCCCAGAACCGAGCATCTTTCTCTCTGTACCTACAGTGCATCACAGAAGATGAATGAAAAGAAGACTGTCTGACAAAGGATTCAACCTAACTGCTAGAAGAAAAGCTTTCACTTGTTTCCAGTGCAAGTTGGAGCTGGCAATCATTAAGAATTCTTACTGTGACACAGCCTACTGCACCTTCCTGTAGGATTCAATGGCACTGATTACCCATGGCTAGGAGCATTCATCACACAAAGTATTCCTGCCTTCTAAGAGGACTTTTTCCCTTTAAATAGCAGAAACTGTAGAGTATTTCACTTAATGGAAAAACTACACCCAGCAACAGACTGAAAATAAAGCTTGTAAGAATCATTTGTACTTTTAGTAATGCACACTTCTTCGTGAGCTGATCAGTTTACAGGTGGTATGTTCTTTGTGAGTTTAAGGCAGCGAGTCTTAAAAAATGCACAAGCTCACTTCCCTCATGTTTGTGCTACTGTATCCTTATGTGCACAATAGAACCTCACTAATTTACACTAATAACTGGAAGAACCATTAATTCTCTTGGTCAGTGAACAAGAATAAGGCATTCCATTATATATTCTGGTCACTAATTATAATTTAGCTCTAATTATAATATACCAGCAAACATACTTCTGTGTTTTAGAAAATAGTATCTCTTACCTTCAGATATAATTACGTGTGCAGATTAGTGGGTTCTGCTGTGTAAACACGCAGGTGCATAAGAAATTTTCAGGTTTTTCTTCATTACATTTGACAAGAAACTTAATGCCACAGATAGAGACTATGGGAAAATAAATTAGGATTTCTCTATCATTTGTGCAGATCTGCACAACTGGGCAGTAATTTATCACTAAAAAAAAAGAATACAAATGTTTACAAACTCAAATTAAGCAAATCAGCAGCAGAAAGCCAAGGCCATTCCCCAACCATAAAAGGCTTGTATTACACGATTCCAAACTACATGAAACAAAACAAAACAAAAAGAATACAAGCACTAACTTTTATATACAAGTTCGAAATCAAGTAAAGCAAAAACGGTGGAAAATTCGTTGATGCTTCTAGCAAATGATTCAGGTGTCTAAATCCTGGTTGAAATACACTGTAAATATAAACATAAGAGAGGATGCAAACTACATGGATAAGTTGAAAAAAAACCAGAAGGATCAATGTGCATTGTAATGAGACAGAAATTTCCCTTCATATGTGCAAAAAATCCACAGTTTCAGTAATGTAGAGGTCATACTTCCAGTTAACAGACCTTAGACAAAACCAGTCTCTCTACATCCTGGAATCTACCTGTTTACATCAGCCACTTAAGTGCACAGTACCCTGTTCACACATATAGTATTCAGCAATTTCTGGCATTTCTCAGGAATTTAACATTCACCTGCCTTAAATCTTGGAAACAAAGGGGAGAGTTCATCCAGAGCATCATATCACTGCTTTTGAGTTATACCAACAGTTAAATCAAACTCAAATTCTCTCTTCTTCCATGATGGCAGGAGTCCTTACAGGACTTGTAAACAGCAGTGCACAATACTGTAAACAAATAATTAAATTCTGCTTTATACAAGATGTTAAGTCAACCCAGGTCTACCAAACAGGTGAAAATGAAAAGGGTGGCTTCCCACAACATCCCTTTTCTCCCAGCAATTCTTTTCACTACATAAATAATCCTGAGCTGAAACAGGTTGATGAGAGCCTTTTTTGCATATAAAACAATATTCTAGAGTGAGCTCTCATGTTCTGCCAGGAAGTCAACTGCTGGAGAGATTAAACTGAAGTATTTGAACCATTCGTCACTTTGGAAGAGGGCTTATAGTTTGGTGTGGCGACCAGTTCTAGACCCAGATGCCGAGCTTGCCAATGAAGCCGATGCTGCTGCATCCTCAGCTTCCTCCAGCTCCTCGTGCAGCTCCTGGCTAACGCTAGACTGGAGGGCTGCAGGAGTCAGCCACTCCTTCGGCAGACAGCTCTGGAGAAATGGTATACAAGAGCTGAAGTAGGCAAGGCGATTCACCCATCGTGGAATCTCTTTTCCACACAGGATCTAGCAGGGAAAGGGAAAAGAAAGGATTAGTTTGTCTTCTGGATTCAGCAGTAACAATACTACAGTACTGTAAATACACAGCAAAGGCTGCAGCAGCCTTACAGTTTACATGTGACAGATGCTAGTCAAGAAGCACTCAGCTGCACTAAGAGAACTTTCTCCATCAGTAAAAGCAGCATCCCAAGTCACACAAGGAGACCTGGTTCGCACTGTGAGACTTTGACACGTGGTTCTACTTTTTTTTACAGGTCCCAAAAAGCCCAGCCCCCTCACTCTTTTTGAATAACTTCTATAAAAGGTACATAAAAGGTATGCTGTCTATTCACTGCTAATTTACCAGCAACATAAATGGCATGAGAGATCTCACTATTACAACAAAGCACTCTGAAATCAAGCAGTGAAGGAGACAGCGTCAATACTAGAGTTAGGCAGAGTTATGCATACATAGCTGAGGCCATTAATGTGACAGCTTCTGATGGCTTTGCACAAGACATCACTACCTTACAGTACACAGGCCAAGCACACACACGCTTAGGTTCACTGGAGCAGGAGAAGCTATACAATGCAAAGCTGGTTTCAACTCCTCAAAGCTGTATAAAAATACATAAAGCTGTATTACATACTTGTTTTTATTGTTTGTAAACTGTGACAATGGTTTCATTGTCACTATTCAAGGAGTGAGCTATTTTACTCAACTACCTCAGTATTCACCTCTGGTGTTACTCCAGTGAAAATGTGGAGAAAGTCATACCTAATGGGAGCATTACTCTGCCATAACCGAGCAGCATTTAACTTGTAATTATATCCCTGTTTTTACAGTCAATTTGAACACTAAATAAAACACCATGAAACAGAAACAACATGACTGCATGGGTTGAAGAATATGGCAACAACCTAGCCATACAGGCCAGATTTCATGCCAACTGCAGCTTTGCCAGTGTCTCACCCTACTTGTACAAGTGTTGCACACGAATCATAATTTCAGTAGATTTTCCAGCACTGGAAGATCCAACAGTCTACACAAAGCACTGGCTATACAATCAGTGTGCCATTAACTGATTGAACAAAAGAACAAATTTCATGGAAGCTCACCACAGAAAAAACACCTATCCCTTTTTTGGAGCGCTTCAATGAAACAAAACAATAAATCCCAACAAGCACAGGTTGCCAACTACCAATAAAAATCACAACTGCCACTCCCCTTTGCCTTGGGTTACTTGTTCCTGACCCTTTCCCTTGTGTTGATCCACATGTCAATGATCAGGCATTCAACTGTATTGGCAAACTGATAATATAAAAATAAAGCTGAAGGGGAAAAGCAAAGCTCATCCAACTCCACAGTCAGCTACTTTACACAACCACTCAGGTACCTACATCACCAGGACACAGGTGCTGGCAGAGCAATCGCTTGACAAAAGTCTCTAAAGAAAAGATGAACACTGTCTGTGAAACTTTGTTATTCTTTAACAGCAGGTGATAACAAATGCCTTTGTTACTCTGTAACAGTAGGTCATAACTTTACAAATTACCTGGGGAAATACTTCTAAAAAGCACGTGGTTCTACCTTCATTAGTGATCTGACATGATCTTGAAACCCTATTAATTTACTACACTTCTCAATCAGGAATGCAACCCTGCTCAAACACAAATTATGTATGACAATAACATTTAGCATTTTTGGCAGCAAAATCTTGTGTTTTGGACATAAGTACAAATAAAACATGAAAAACAGTGGCATTTGCCCAAGGTAACAGAGACAGGAAGTTGGAAATTAGGCCAAATATTCTGAAGGGCAGGAAGGAGATGATGTTTCGTAGCCACCAGGGAAGCACTCTTCTACAGACCTTCAAGTTTGTTTACCTCAGATAAAGCTGAAGAAAAGTGATTGCAGTTTTTGTGCATTAGGTGATACGCATTTCCTTTGAATTCCTTTCCAAGCTCTTCTACTATTTTTTCAATGTCATCTTCCATAAAGTCAGTACTGCCTAGAACCACAGCCTCTCTAAAAGAGAAACAGAAAGTAGGTGATGAGGCTTCCATGATATGCGTGGATTACTGTTCATACAATGCTCAAAGTCACTCCACTGTGGGTAGTGAGATCTCTCTGCCCTCCTAGGATAACACAGATTTATTCTATTCCATTTTACACCACCACTTTCATCCTTATCACTAGAGATTATATCCTTGTCCATTGTCCACCTGTAGCTCACTCAAGTTCTTTGCAACTCAACTCTGACAAACACTGGATGCAATTTTCCCCTCCTCTCCAAAGGACACTGTTTCCAAGAGACAGCAGAGAACAGGTAAGAGCTTGTAATGCAAGGAAGGGTCAAGGTAATTACACTGAACAAGAGAAAAAGAGACATGGGGAAACCTTGAAAAGAAACATTTTTCAGCTTTTTCTTTGAAGAAAAATGCCACTACCTTGTAAAAGTTACGCCATTGAATATACTATACGGATAACAAAAGTTAGCCAAAAGTCCATGTAATTTGTATACATTTAAAGATGGTATAATAGAAATAATGTTCTTTGCTGTAGACACCTCACTCTCTCATCACCTCTGTCCCTGTTTCATTTCTAAGTAAACACACTAACTTTTCAGAAAGTCAGAAATGCTATAGTATCATTCAACACATTATCTTAAAAAAATAAATGCAACAAGTTGTCTTTTTAATATGCCTTTTCAAAAGCAAGAAAGTATCTTTCTTACTTAAATTTAAATGTTTCTCCTAGCTCGGAAGCATTTCCTGGTGAAATTTCAAATATTCCAGAAAAAGGGTATGGATGACCACCATAGGCAAACTCTGAAAGAGAAAGCACAGATTTAACAAAAACAGCATACATCGACAGTAAAGAACAGCAGACCTCACTGACTGGAACATCACTCCACAAATTTCTACAGCTCGAAACCAGACATCTTATTTACATGGGTAACAACCCAAGGAGCTAGAAATGAATAGTTTTCTAAGTTACTAGTCAACCTAAGTAAAAACTGTCAGGACATTTCCTACTTCAGTGTACAGGTTTAACTTGAATAACTTTACAGTAATTATACATTGTTTTCATTGTATAAGTGAGGATTTACAGGTTAAACTGTAAATCCTACCAATATTCTTTACACATGCTTGTCTTCAAAAGTCCTTACATGTTTATAGATTAGGGATTCAAAGTACTGCATCCCCAAAGGCCTGATAGTGTTTCTGCTCAATACACACTACAACTGTACGTGTGGCAGCAAGTATTGGCCTAATAGTTGTTTGGTTTTTTTTCATTTCTTGATTTGCAAGAGTTAAACTGGTCCACGTTCTTTACTATAACAAGAAAGTTAACCAGAACATGCATCTGAAGTCTGCACATAGCATCTACTGGCATAAGCACTTATAGTACATGAAAATATCGTGGTATGCTTTACCTTCCAGCTGTGTCTTTTAAGATAAGACAGGCAGAGTGCAATAAAAAGCTTTAAGCATGACTTCATGCTTCTTTCCTCAAAACTCGTAACACATCATCGAAGTCTGGCATTCAGTTTTGTGGACAATCTTTTTTACAACAGGTTAATAAGTAAAGTTTGATAGACTGAAAAAATGCAAGTCATTGTTCTAGCAAGGGTATGACCTGCTACGTGAGAAAGCTGCTATAATCTGAACAGGAAGGGAGGCACATGTATTTGGCACAACTCAAGAACTGGGTTTCAGCCATAGCACTATTACGAGTCAGGTCTCTCTGGTTTGGATTTAAAGAAATCCAAGAAAGTGTTAACAATAAGCACTGTATTTTGACATTTTTTTGCTTTGGTATCTCTTGCAAACCCACTTACAATGTGGCCATTGTAGTAGGTGAAACATCTATACTTCAAGGTAAGTTTGTGCAATGTGGTCTTAGGATGGTGCACCACACCTTTTGCTGCTTCCTCTCACTTCCATATACATTCCAAAAAAAAGAACTGAAGTACTTTTCTTCTTTAAACGGACTACTTTTAGCAACACTATCACCTCAGAGTATCATTATACTGCTAGGCAAGAACACCTCAGACCTCAGCCTGTGCTACAGCATGCTCAGAAACACTTCCTGGCAGCAATGGGGGTTCAAAGTGGCCTGAACAGACCAAGAAGCTGCAACCCCAAATTACAACCTGTTTAGCAAAATCAAAATGTATTGCTGTATTTATCACAAGTGCATCTTTGGTAAACAATATGCGTGAGATGACTCTTAAAGAAACTGTCTCTTTAATACAAACCAACCTACCAATAAGGAAGAAACAGGTTTGTCTGAGCATCATGCTCTTTCCAGTACCTACCTGCAACAGACTATTGTTTCTGTAGTTAAAAATTAACTCCTTTCACCAAGTGCTGGTAGCATACCAAGGAAACATGATTCAACCATGCTTACATGAAATGTACATTTGGATTAACAATCACTATTTCAAAACCCGAAACGAAGTTTTCTGTGCCCAGCTGGATAAACTGCACACTTTTTCATAGTTGCATAGCTTCATACAAGAATGCAAGATGACCACTCGATTATTTGTATCCAAGTTTTTTTCCGGAGGCAGAAAAGATGAGAACTTTAAGAGAAAACTGATGAACAGGTTTCAGGAGCCAGACTTCCCTTGCTACTGGAAAAATGTTTTTTAAATAAACAGCATTAGCGCAACAAAGTGTAACTTGTGTTTTTCTTGTACATACCTCGGCCATACACCTCTATACCTGAATGGAACACTCCAATTCCAAGGGAAGAAGTATACTCATTCATCCAATACTAAAAGAAAAGAAGAAAACAAGGAAGGCTAGTTAGTTTCCAACACAGACTGACATGAATTTATCCCCCACATCAAAAGCAAAAAGCCTTACCACAAAGTGAAACTGCACTTCATGGGAACAGAACATGCCACTAAAACTCCCCAACTGTACACAATGAATTAACTCCCTTACGTTCTACTCTGGTGCTTTAGTGCTGTCACTGTCTGCCAATCAAGGAGACCATACCTGTCAGAACCAAGTTTTCTCCCAATAAAAATGACATACTAAACTTCGGACTGAGAAGTCATTAATGAAGAACACAACAAGTTAAATGGCAGAAAGACCAAGTCAGGCCAAAAGTTACAAATGACCAGGCATAAGATGTAGATGTATTTGGCTTTTACAGTCATCCTTATCAAAGTATCACCAAACCTAAAATAAATAGTCCCCCAAATTCAGTTTCCAGCAGTTGCCAAACATCAGGCACATCATTTTCCCAGCCTAAAATTCACAATTGTGCTAGCAGGCACAGAACACAAATTACTATCCGGATAACAATATGGTGAGGATTTGATGTGGTCTTCCATAGGAAAGTCAGTTGTGGGAAATTTTGTCAACATGTATTAACACAAGACAGCCTTTGCTCCTTATATTTATTTAATGTTAAGGCTCATTAAGATCTGTGGATAAATTTTGCTTAAGACTAAACTTGACTCTCTGCTTTAATTTCTGGCTTTGTCAACACAGTGCTATGTTAGCTAGTGGGGTATGAACAACTATCCTAAATCATCACCTTCATCTGTTTAAAGGGTTTAGCAGTTCTTTCCTTCTCCCCCCAAAAAAGAGCAGAGAGCTAGTTCATATCATCAAGCTGCATTCAGAAATACACTGGGTTAGATTTACTTTGTATAAAAAGACACAGAACAGGGAGAAAACAAGAATAGGGGAAGAAAGGAGAATAATGTTAAGACTACCCAACTAATTTAATAGGCTTGTGAGTATAAAAAAAAAAATGTTCTGTTCATTGAAGTGAGATCAAAGCCCACAGAAAAATGCAATAACTACTCGAGCATAAACCTGTTTCATTTCTGAAGCCACTCCTATTTACACTTTACCAGCTGACCATTTCAAAATAGTTTTGGGTTTATATTTATAGTCAACACCGTAAGCACATACAGTTTGTCAGCAAAGGAAGAAAATATGTTTGCCTAATGAGAAGTTGTACGCAAATGAATCCAATCTAGAACTGGGCTAGGCCCAGTCCCTAGTTCTCAAGTCCTTCCTCTCCAAGACACCTATTCAGCCAGAAAACTCTGGGTCCAGCCTCCAAGTTCCAAATAACCTACACATGACATACACATCAGATCTGTTAATGCCAAGCAAGGTTATTGCTGCTCTCTGAAAATGGAACAAAAGTTATACAAGATATCCCATAAGCAGTATAAGTAATAAAGCTTAGCTTGCTATTAGGCAGAAAAAGAGAAAAAAAATATTCACACTCCTCCCACAACCCTGTAAGATGTAATGCAAGGTATAGGGAGAGGACAGAAAAGTGGGTCACCAAGCCTCCTCATTGATCAGTAGTGAAGAAGACAAAAGGGATGGAAAGCTGCTCAGCAACCCCAGCACTATTCACACTGCACCCCCCCTTACTGGTACCACACTAAGCACACGGGACTCACAAAACGACAAAAACTGAGCATTGGTGGCAAATTATACAAATGTTAGCAGCTTTGGAAGAAGTGCCTAAAGCAAGCTGGCACTTCACTTAATATTTCCAGTAAGAACAGAGTAGGTTAATTGAAGATAAAAGAATTTCAATAAGACAGAATTACTTTCCCCCTAGGAACAGTAATTATATCTAATTATTACTTAATCTGGATCAGCTATTGGAAGGTTGGTCACATTTTCTCATTGAACAAAAATGCCTTATCTCTACTGAAGAAAGAAATGAAGGACAAATGCAACTCAAAATATGCTATCACTGAAAAGATTGTGTATGACTTAAGAAACAAAGATCGTAAACCAAATGGAATCTATATAGCTTGCTGGTTCAGTAACATACTGTAAGTTCTGGAATCCCAAACAGGTCCCAAAATCTACACCCTTGCTTCTTTTACACAAACTGGATTCCCTACATTTAGTCTTGATACGAATTTTGCCATAGTAGAATACATAGAAGCACAAACCCATATCCTCAACATTTTGCAGTAAGTCAGTCTTGTAAAACAGGAACTCATGTTTAATGCAACTATCCAAATGAAAATATTAGAGAAGTATTTTTCTATGTGCACAATAAAGTCATGTCACTGAAATGAAAGGAAAACACTAATCCCAGTGCTTCAAAAGTATCTTCATTACTTTCTTCAGAGCTTTATGTTAATACATTAGATTGCTATAGCTTTGTTTGATAAGGAATAAACAGGATGCTACTTTGGGCACAAAGAAACTATACTCCTAAAAATAGCAGTTAGTTAAAATGAAACTATAAAGTACTCCTGTTCTCAAAACACAATATATCAAAGTCTTCACCATAGCCTTTTAACGATCATGAAAGACTTTCAAAGGCATGAAATGCAGCACATAACTATGCCCTTAAGCTTCTCTTCCTCTGTTGAGTTACCAGTACTTGAAAGTCTGCTTTCTTGCACAACACAAGCACCCCTCCTCATACTTTGGTTTTATCAAAGATTTTTGCTTTTTACCTTACCAAGCAGTAAGGACAATGGAAGGGTAAACACTTCAAAACCAACCAACTCAGACCTGTAAAGAGTTTCAATAGTAGCAAGGTCACCTAGTATCCCCTGCATACCTAAGCAGATGTCTGGGAAACTAAGCTATAGTTAGAACCCGGGTTGAAATAAAGCCCTTCATACGACTGTTGTGATTATAGCAGTGTTATAGTATAGGTGACTAATGGTGGTCTCTTCTTCCAAGAGAAAAATAAAAAACCCAATTCCAAACCTAAACCACAAAAAAACCGGAATTCACTTCCACGGGTGATATGAAATGTCAGAAGCAAACTGCAAACTTGCTAGTGCCTCAATACACAGTTGGGACGATTTGATGAGTAGACAGAACTTCAAAATACCTACTGCAAAAGACTCTTCCCTCCTCCCCCCAACTCTTAGGGCCCCCAAACAACACCACATCATTGATTTCAGTAGGCTCTGTCCATACAATAATGTCACAGCTATGCAACATGAAAGTAAGGCTTTAGTTCAAGCTCCTGCTTCAAACAAGTTTAAAATGGACTGAGATACCATTTAGAGGTAGAGTTTGAGGTTGGACATATATTGGCAATGTCTTTCACACAGTGGGAACTTCAGTTTTTCTTTCCAGTTAAAAGGAAATCTTCTCTAATGGCCGAATAATATAGGCATTGTTAGAAAACAACTAACATGGCTGAAGTAGGACACAGAAATACTCTGCTTAGTGGTCTCAGCTTACACTATGTATAATTTGTGGTGACGTACAGCTTCAAGAAATACCACAAGTGCAGACCAACGCACAGAAAAACACCCCTGTAAGTGATCAAACATCTGCAAATAAATGTGCTTGATTGCTTCTTTTGGAGAGTAAGTTCCTTCCACAGATGGTAGCTTTTGAGACTATGCTGCTTCCTGATGTAGGCAGAGCCCCACTGATAACAACAGGACAACTATCGGTGTCCAACATGTCCTATGGAAAAATATGACACTATTTTTTATGAGTACAGCCTTCCTGTTGCTTTTTTTGCCCCTTCCGTCCTACAAACTCTCAGCCTTTCTAGGATGGCTGGAGTAAACCTGATAATAGTAAATCAACTACAGAGGAAGAAGAGAGGAGGCTATGGGCTGCAGGGAAGTCTAACCATTAAGAGGTGAAGAACCATGTGAATGAAAGAGCAGACTATTGCAAGAGAAGAAGAAAAGGCATGCTGAAGTCACACTGCACTAAGGCTATCATTAGCAAGAATGGAGTATCTCACAGAGGCCATGGCATTACATTCCACAAAGGCACTTCCACAGGAGACAGTCCATTTGTTAGTTTCCACAGCCTGCCCATGAACTGGGCCCACGCAACACGCTGCACAGCTAAGCAAGTCTTTCTGAGAGCACTGGGTCTTCCAACTTAGTGAGTCAGAAGTGCGTCAAGCCTTGACTTCAAAGATACTATCTTAGGTAAGAGTCCTGAAACTGAAGTCCTACTTCTTTCTCTGTACAAATATTTATAGTTAATACATGTAAAACCATCTCTTTTAATGCTAAAAGAGCATCTCCAACGTGTATTTTTACCTGTAGCCCAGAGAAGGCACACGTATGTGTGTGACAGCATACCCTTCCCTCCTTAAGGCACACTTTTTGTCATGTCAGCATCATGTATGAGCTCAGGTGAGCAAAGACCACTTCCCACCCCCCTCCTCAGAAGTATCACAGTGAGTAGACTGCTTCTGTCTCCAGTCTGCCCTCATTCTCTACAATGATGGAAAAACAAAGTAGAATAACAGGTTATATTTGCTGAAGACACAACACAGACACGGGGCAGGTGGAAGAAAGAAGAAAGAAATCCTTTGATGGGGACATTGATTTCTATGGTAAGCATTAAGGTGAAAGAAAATAATCAGACTAGTTCATGTACACTCATATATAATTTTAATTTCAAGCCAAACAGCTCCCTATTGATTGCTAGTAAACATTCTGGCATTAGAACCCGAGTATTCCCAAGCAAACAAGCTGCATTTTCTCTCTGCCAGCAGTCACTGACTCTACACCTTATACCTTCACCCTCCTAAACCACCAGAAGTTCACTTTAAAATGGTGGTGGTGGTAGGAAAGCCTACCCAAAATAAGCTAAGTAACTCAAACAACACCACCTGAAGCTAGTTATCAATCTCACTGTCCCTCTATCAGCAGATGCAAAACGTGGTCAGAGAACTACTGCTGCCTGTTCTAATTTCCTGCAACTGAAGCGCATTAACGGATAATATTTTCTTAATATTACTTATCCACACCTCCTGTTCTATCCAGGTACT